ACCAGGCAAAAGCACCAACACGATTCAAGGCGGGATCTTCATACTTATATGACAATGCCTCGAGGAATTTGCGAGCTAAAACCATGCGATGGTGGGCACCGCCAACACAAAAGGTGCCTGAGCGGGCGGGATCGTTGAGGAAATCCAGGAATGAAGCGTGGTGTGCGGTAACGGCGTCGTAATTAGCTTCAGGCTCGGGTAGCTCTATGACAGAGCTCAGACCACGTAGCATTAATCGAACATCACCAGTTTTGAGGCCCAGGAGGTGTTCAATGTCTTCAACGGACATATGAAACTTCGCCCCGAGAAGGGCTAAGATGCTGAGAAGTTGAGGCCGAGCAGGAACTTCAGATAAGATTTGTGTATACAGTTGATCCAGGGCACCAAACGGCAATCCAAAGTCGGGTTCAGTAACGCCCATTATGATGTCAAGACGATCCGTCGGACGGAAGTTTTCATCGTCGATGAACTTGATGACTGTGGATACATAAATGAAATATCCAGATGACTTTTTGACAAGATCTTCAACGACTTCCGAAGAGGGCCAGGGAGCAGGAATTGCAGCCATAGTTGTACGGTGCTTTCGATGGATGCGTGCAAATTCATGCAGCAAATATCTTCGGACATCCTCGAATGACTGTTCAATGTTTACAGAGCAACGTAACGTGTTCAAGGAGGGGCCCTTGAACATTTTGCGAATGTGAGGCTCCGGCCTGCTGGAAATGAGGAAACGAACGGGGAGGTGGGGGTCCTGGATAGAATTTCCGATGCAGCGCAAAATTTCCTGCTGAACATCCTCGCCCCGGCATTCATCCAATCCGTCGACAATGATAATCGCGATGCGGCCGGGGATGATCTGGCGACACGGTTCTACAATGAGCTTCTGCAGCTGTATTGAAAACGATTTTTCGAAGATTGCTGGATCCTTCTCTACAATCTGCGAGATGATGTCATTTAACTGAGGAAGGATGACGGCAAGCTGATATGCGATAGTCGAGAAGAGTCTGGTGGCATTTCCACGGGACTCGTGTCCGCGTTTGAAAAAGAAGTTGGCGGTGAGACAACATTCTGCCTCCAACTTCTGGCACAAAGACTGTGCAACCGCGGATTTTCCGGCACCAGCAGGTCCATGCAACCAGAGAACACTGCTAGCTGGATGAATATCGTCGGCGGAGGACGGGCCACCATTGTCCTCAAAGGACGAGCCGTCATCCCCAGTGAAAATCCCTTAGGCCCCAACCTGCCGACATCTGCCGACATCTGCCTGATCTTGGCTCATATCTGCCAGATTCTGCCGCCCTCTGTCGGCGGGCTGAAAATAAGTAAAATCTGAAATAAATTTGGAAACCATGGGCAATTTCATCGAAATTTCATCCACAGAACTAGGTTTTGATTTCAGAATATCCAAAGTCTGCATCATGGACGCCTTGCGCGCACGGACCACTTCGAATGGGGGATCAGCGGAGTTTAAAACACTCCTTGCTTCCTACATCCACCATCCCCTGCCCCGCCCAGCCTGCCCTCCCCTCCGCCCGCCCCTGCCCTTCACCTTCACATGCGGCCACCTCCCTATGCTTCCTTTAACCCTTATTTACGATTACACACGGCCCTCAAGATAATATGGCAACGAATCGATAACAGACGCGACCAAGCCGTAACCATTGGGTTTTTTGACGCGTATTCTATTCTATTCTGGTTTCTCTCTGTCTGCTCGTTGACCATCACTTTCGGTATTTTATAGCTCTTGCTCTCCTCTCAAAGCCTCCAAGAGTCTTCTACGCATCACGATCTGGTGCGGTACGGTCTTGATTCCCGACGTCTGCGAAGCGCTCATTATGCTCGCGCTGAAATATTCTGTGCACATTAGAACGACTGCCCACCTCGCAATTGGATGATGATCGCAGCCCGCGCTGGCTGTGATGGCATAGGCGCTGTGCCGTGCCGACGATATCTTTGTGCGTCGTTGCTTCCCCTCTTTTTCTGGTGGAGCACTTTACAGTGTTATTGCGACCATCAACTCCAGTCCTTCATTCGCGTCCCCGCCGCTGTAGCCGACACAGGGAAGAATGACAGCCGCAGCAACAGACGCTGCAGCAACGCCAAGTGCGTGCTTGATCGCTTTACTTTTAGGAGTGCGCTGACACCTCCTTACCAGCTGTGCGTCGATACGATGGGCGTTGCGGAGCTATTGCATGTCTGGTGAGTTGCTTTCCTCGAATCAAACACGCATATATTTACTCTTCCACCAGACAACTGCTTTTACACGCCCACATATGCAACACAATCTGTACTTCCGACCACTGCACGCCGCCGCCGCCGAATGGAGACGGTGGTCAGCCAGGCTGAGCCGGAGGGCGACTACTTATGTACAGCATGTCGTAGTTACTAAATAAATATGGATTTCCAAGTAATATGAAGCAAAAGAACCAGTGAAATACCCGGGGCATATATGAGCAGCCTACGAAAGTTTTGAGCATAGATCGGGCAGAGCGAGGCAGATGACGGCAGGTTGAGCTCAAATGCTCATATGCCATAGGCTCATTTCTCTGCCCAGATCTGCCCTCGTCTGCCATACTTTGGGTGGGCAGATCAGAGCGGATCTGGGCAGACCCCGGCATAAGGGATATTCGCTGGGCGTCATCGTCGACGATTCCGCAGGTCCAATTCCACAGATATCCAAGCATCTTTGTCCGAGTCTCAGGATGGCACTTCGGCTGTGGATATCTCTCTGCGGAGTTGTGGAAGGCATCACAAGCCGCGACACGGTGTAGGATATGAAGACCTTGAAGAATGAAAAGTGCATATTCATTGTGAAATGTGGTCAGCATATGTACCAATTTCACCCTGGCGTTGAATATGAGTCACATTCCCACCCACGAATGTACTGCCGTGGATGCTGGTTTTGGCCCATCTTGAGGACGGTCCCAGGGGAAGGGTGGGTGGCTGAGTAAAGCGATATTCGACCGTGGTTCCCGGCCACGAACGTCACCTGGAAACAAATGATCGGAATCGCTTGGTACGCCGAAGTACGGCTCAAGGTAGGTGGATGGCACCTTGTTTGGTGCTCCGGGGTAGAAGTTGTGACCATCCTGAGCTCCGTCACCAATCATACCGGGACCAGGAGGATGAGAGAATGTCTCGAACCGGGGGTTTCAAGGCTGCGGTGAAGAATTCTGAAAAGGAGGGAACCATGTCCCTGATGCGGAGGCGATAGGTACAGGCCAAGGGTGATCTTGAGGATAAGATAGATTGGCATGTTCCGAAGAGTTTCCCGCCCAAGGTTCGAGATTTATCCAGGAATATTGGATGTTGGAGAGCATAGCCTGAGTATCGTGAACTATGGCGCCGGGATCTCGTGAACTGGACGTATACTCTCGGTCGGATCCAAAGGGATAGAAGCGGAATTCGGGTCGCAGTTGTGAAGATGAGTATTGGGGAGAATTTGATGGTAAGAGAAGTGGTGCAGGGGCAGTAGCGATAGACGCAGGAGGTGGCGGCTGCGAAGATGGGTGTGGGAGAGGATTCGATGGCGATGGAAGTGATGCATTCAACGCGGACATGGACCATGGATGCGGATGGTTGGCAGTCTGAGGCGCATACACATTATTGGAACCACCTGCAATCTCTGGCACAGGACCAGTATCTGTGACTACTACTCAGATGGATATCAATCCGAATGGGCTTCACACGCACCGTAGGTCAACGTCCTGGCGGCTTCTGGATGTGGGCCACTCCTCTCTGGACCCTCCAACTGATGCCCGGACCTTAGACTCGCCCCGAATTCCAGCGCCGGAAACCCCTCGAGGCTGTCCTGCTCTGCAAGTCGAGTACTGTGGACAGTCATATCGCCCCCAATGTTGTAGAAATTAGAGTCATTGATTATGACCCCGGTGCTGGACTCGAAGAACGGCATGAAAGCTCGATGGGGGGAGGAGAGTAGGGGAGATGTGCTGTCTGGCAGTGTCAGTCAGAGCATTGGTGCCAAAGGTGTTTATTTCTGGTCAGGCGCTAATCTATATACAGTAAGAGTGGTAGGCGATTGGACCGGAATTGCGCGTGCCAGCAATCCGTTCCCTATTAGTATATATTTCCGTCCGCGCACTGTGATCCTCGCCTGAGTGGATTATCAATGATTCTTCAAGGTTCTGGCTCTACAATGATTTTAATTCTACTAGTACAGTCAAGCTAGGATTCTGGGCTTTCTCTGGACTGTCGTCCCCTCGTATCGCTGCTAAAGTTTCTTACCGATTACTAGGCCAACCGTACTTTGCGGCACTCTCATACACGAGAAATATTTACTGTACCCGCCGCGCGGTGTCCTCACAGTCTATTGACGTGATTTTTTTTTCAAGAACGGATTGGGATTTGGATTAGTATTCATTCAAGTTGGAACTGAGCTGAGCTCGGGGTACTGTCGAGTTAAGATCGGAATACTAGTATTTCAGAGCATAGGTTGGGATGACTGATCAGGCATACGAAGGAAGGAAGTTGGAATATCAATGATTCCGTTGGAATTTAAGCGTCCGAGTCGCCGTCAGTATTTGCAAGAGAAGGGGGATGAAATTGCATTACAATTCAGCGCCGAACCACGATAGTTTAAATAGTGTACAATGATCGAATTCAAGTCCAAGTCCTACATCGAATTTAAGTAAAGTCCTACCGAAAGCCGGTACAGGAAGGGGTTAGGGCATGCATGCGTGGACTTGAATGGCCGTAGGAACTCGAATTTGGGATGCTTGAAGGTTCCTGAGGTGGGATTGAACTTAGTTTCTCTTGTTGACAGACGTTTTAACTCGTATACCTCGTGTGTTAAAGATCGAACTTGAAGGCAGATGCACGTGAAGCTAGATAGATGCAAGGACTTGAAGGTAGATGGGAGACGCAAGGACTCCGAGAGAATGCACGCAAGGTACTTGACTGCAGAATCTACTAATACCTATCCCAAATTCATCGCATTGCATTAACACCGTCCCAAAGCTTCTGAGAGTAATGACCATCACGTCTTCGTGGTTCAGTCGGTAGATCGCTCCTGTATTGTTTGCGTATTCTTTCTGACTGAGGGAGAGGCGCGGGTTCGAACCCCGCCGAAGACATTCGCTGCGGCATCGTTTGTTTTTTTGTAATCTCTCTCTTTCTCCAGCGAGGCAACCTACCGACTGTAAATTAACGTCTTCCTACTCCGACTCAGCTTAACTGGTAGACACTCTGATGTCTAGCAGGCTTTGAACAAATGATGGCATCAGCCGAGCGCTGGCCGTGTGAAACCCTGGCAATCTAGTTGAGGAACGAGTCTCAACTATGTAGGATAGGGTAGGTCTGATATTGGCATATCTTTCTCTTTCACTCTGCACTACCCTAGCCGTCGTAAAATCAAAGAAGAGCAGTTGAACAGTGGAACAGCGGAAAATCGAAACAAAACCTTTGTTCTCAACGTTGCAAATCACGCATCTATGTATTCTGGGATAAGTGATATTTTACATCCTCTTCACTGGTACTGTAACAGACTAGAGAAGATCTATCGAAATGCGGGGTAAGACTCGACCCCGGAGATGCGAACATGATAAGTATATCCGAGGGTGGGGGGGGGGGATATATTATACTCGCGTGGTCCACAGGCTGAACAACGAGTTTACGGAAGACAAACAAGTGGTACTGTAGAGGGTGGTTATCCTTACAGAATTCTACCAGATGCCGACCGAGCACACATAAATTCCAGGGGGTCGGACGCACAAGACGCTGGCAAACTGTGGACTGGCTGGCCTCGAGCGGCGGGACATCTGGATAAAACCCTGTGGGACCTGACCACCAGCTAAAAATACTGGTGTGCGGGAAGAGTTCCCTCTTCCCAGGTATAAATCCCCAGATTCCACCAGTACACAGATGCTGTTGTGCGGCTTCCCTTTGCAGAATGCATGCAAACCACATATCAGTGTGTTCAACTTCCAAAGAAGGTCCACAACCGACAAAAATAAAACCAGTCTCCTGTGGCGAGAGAAAGGAGTAAATAACATAAAACGCGAAGCGTTTCAGGCGAAAAAGACACAGTAGATGGACCGGTCCATCAAGCGGGTACACCGATAACACACCGGTGGCTGAGCCATCCACATCCGGGCTTAAAGTCGCACATTGGAGGTTCCAATGGGTCGCATTGACGAATGTACTACTCGGTAATTCATAAGACAAGATGTAACGACATCAGGTGATCTTTAGCGGCGTCCGTGGCTCGTGCCTCCGCCGTTGTGGGATAAACGAGACTGTGTCCTGCGGCTACCCATCCCCGAACCCGAGCCCCCTGTGCTCGTACTGGGACGTGCCGATGTTCCTCCTGCACCCATATCGCCGTGTGCTACCATGGTAACAGGCCCATTCGGCACCTTGCCGATCCAAGCGTTCTTGAGTGCTCGCACATCTGAGGAGGACGCCATTTGAATCCGGAGATAACTCGCTTGCATCGGGTCAAGGATCACGTTCATCTGCGCCGGCTCGGGGAGGGCGAAGGAGGGAAGCGTTGCATGCATGTAGAACTCCAGAATTTGGGCCGGAGTTGACGACGGCAACATTTTGACAGGGCCCATGACGATGAAGGGCATGGCATTCGTGGGAGGGGGGCGGATGCGCCGGCTAACACTCCCTTCTGGGGATCGAGAGCGAGAATGAACACGGCCTGGTGCGGGGGAGCGAGATCGAGTGCGGGGAAGGAGGGGGGCCATGGGGACAAGGTGGAAGGTCGCAACCTGCGCCTCGAGCGTACGGATCGTGGCCTGCAGGGCCTCGGTTTTGGCCGCGTAGGTTTTGTTGATTTTCGCCTGTGCAGCCGCCTGATATTTGATCTCGTCGTTCAAGATATCGCGATCTTTTTGAATCGACTTGAACTGTTCCGCTATCGCGTCGATTAGCGTGTCGTTGGAACGGGTCTGGGTACGCTCAACAGCTTCCATGCGCTCCTCCAAATGTTCAATAGCGGTGACAGCAGCGTCGTCAACACGTCCGCCATATCCGGAGCCTTCCGGAGCCTTCCGGAGCCCGCCCTAAATCGCCTCTTGATTGCCTCTTTACTCCCGCCGTCATCTCGCGCTCCTACTCCATCCTCATGCCCAGCACCGACGACGAAACCAGAGCCAGTGCGCCCAGGAAGACATCGCACCCGGGACGCCGGAAGCGCATGCGCGCCCGACGACTGCGCATCGCATCGCTCCATCGAGAAACAGTGGCGGGAGGCGCTGAACACCCAATTTATCGTGCGTCCTAATCCTAATCTCCTAATCGCACGCCCGATCTTCAGATCAGATCGCTCACCTCTCCTATTCATTGCTGCTAGGACCCGCCCTAGCGATGACCCGCCTCTCCAAGTCACTCGTCGTCAGCGAGTCGATCGTTCACCAGAAGCAGCAGCGGGTCCAGCGCCTCGCGTGCGCGCAGCGGATCCGCGCGCAGGAATCACTGGTGGCGGAAGTCAACACCCTCCGCGCAGGGCATCCCAGACCGGCGGGAGGACGCACCTCTTCAAGTTACTTTAGTGCGGCGGCGCGCGCGATGTTGGAGGTCTTCGGTGCGTTCCACGCTGGCGTCGGCGACAATTGGGAGGATGCTAGACGACGATATGGGCATAGGTGGCGACGTGAATGTCGACAAGGGGCGGCCGGAGCAGGCTGGGGCTGGGTCTGTGCGGCGGAACAGGAGTTCTGCATCGCACGCCGTCCAGGCCATCTGCGCGCACGTCGTCTAGGTCCGCTTTGCGCTCGCCGTGAGAGGCCGCAGAGTCGCCCTCCCCTCCAGCGCCGTCGCCCTGTCCCCCGCGCTCTCCGGATCTCCCGACCCCGTCGTGCCCGCCCCCTACGACGCTCCCATCGCCCACCTTGTGTGATGATACGGATTTGCTCGCCCTGTTAGCCGCCCCTCCCTTCCCTCCTCCATCGTCATCCCCGCACCGCAGACCTCGTTCGCAGACCGCGTTCGGGTTTGCACCCGTAAGCCTATTCCTTTTTTCTCTTCGTTTTACACTGTTTCTCTTTATTCTCCTTTGGACTTGGCCTCTTCGTTATTCTTTTGACTCGTCCGTAATCCAATTTTTACAAGTGTCGGAGAGTGCGACGTTCGCGAACCACCTCCCACTTGGCATGTCCCCGGAACAATTCGACCTCAATCAAAGCGGGCATATGCATATATATCTCGCAGCTTACATGCCCGGTACCGATACGGAGTTCGCGTCCCCGGCTAGGCATGATATACCGCTTTAAGGAAACCCGTTTGACGACGACGTGTGGCGCTTCTTGCGTCCGCAGCGTCCGGGCGCGTGTCTCTCCAATATCAATACATTCACGAGCGCGAGTCCATCCGACTTCGACTCCGACTCCGACTCCTCCAACACCGCAGCCTTCAACACCACAACCGACTCCGCACCGGGCTCGATGAGGAGTCTGACTACGGTACGGAAGACTACGGCTTCCGCACCCTCGCCCCCGCCCCCGCTGTACCACCGTGACGGCGTTTGCGTTCCCGTAAGTTGCCTTCCTTAACCTTAAATCCTGCTTTAGCGTCGTTCCGCTTTCCTCCTCGGTGGACGTTGGACGTTTAATTTCCTCCTCGCTTGACGCTGGTTTGCCGCTGGTTTGGGGTGGTTTGCTTGCATTTTTCGTTGCGCATCATTATCGTGGTTTGACGCGATGACGTGGTTTGAGCTGGAGTTGGAGTATCGTGATGCGTGATGCGAGATGTGGAGAAGTATCGTGATGCGGAGGATTGTCGTGATGTGGGATGTGGGATACGGAGAATTGTCGTGATGCAGAGGACTGACGAATTTGGGTATTGTTATTGATAGTGCGGTGCATGCTTATGTATTGATCTTGGAATGCAGCTGACGCGAAAACCCGCCTTCTTTGACACGCAGACGGTTCTCTTCCCCCTCTATACTCCGACGTGAGGTGTTTGGTTGGGTCGGCCACTAAACCCAGCCCGAAGTTTATCTGGCAGTGGAAGTCACAGAGCGAATGAGCATGTCGCGGGATCGAAGGCCGGGCGGGCCACAACGAATGTATGTCAGCCCTTTCGGCATATATTATTTCTGCTCAGTAGGTTTTTGGGACAGCATTGCAAATTCAATGTTTGAATGTACAGTTGGACGCTCAGGTTACTAGTACTGAATTTGAAATGAACCATGTCTGGTCGAGGATTTCAAATGTCACTTCCAACCGCACGATGTGTCAAATAAAAAATGTCCATAAAAGGGAAGGAAAGCATCGTTGAAACGCGTGTTCGTCATTTACTCCCCGATTTTTAAACTACTCGATGCCTCTATCCTTCGCTGTAGTTCATACATTATTTTCCGGGACCAGATTGCTCCCTCTTAAATCTCGACGAGATCGCATTGCAGGACAGCAGAATTGCCAGGCACATTATTTCCCAGTGATGTGGCAATGTTAGGTTGATTGCCGAGAATTCCTCCGGCACTGATTTATGACGAATGATCATGTTGAAAAATGAACATATCGTGAATCTAGAATCAAAATAATACAGAACACGAGACTTTTCAGCTTGCGGAAGCTCAGGACCTACTCTTAGGTTTCGCGCAACGTCAATGGTCAAAGATAATCTCCGTCGGACGCGGAAGGTTTGATTGAGCTCGCTCGGAGTCATCCTCGGACCGAGCCTCTTAGTGCAATCCTAGCTAGTCGGATCGCAAGTCGCTTTTCAGGCATCGTATGCTCGCTCCGAGATTCAAGAGCCTGGTATTACCATGTGGGTATGGATTGCATCGTGGGCGTCAGACACGCTGCCACCGGTCCCAAAAAATTTGCGGATTCCATTCATTGCTAAACTCATGGAATGCTTCGTGGGCGTCAGGCGCCCTGCCACCAGCGCCAGAAAATCCCACCTTCAATTCATTGCTAAATTTATGAAATGGACAACTGGACTGTCAGCTGTCAATTTCTAATACCTTCCTTGATCGCTGCTAATAAATTGTCTTCATTTCGTCTGTTTCACTTCTGAAGTAAGTTCATTCCGACTGCCACATACCCACCTTGCGACGTCTTCCTCCGGAAAAAATCTCACTCTCTCTCGTACATATAAAAGGCAGGCTCTCAGAATCGTTCTG